TTCTACAGAGAGACAAAACCAATAGGATATTTTAATGTATAGATACGAAAGGGGATTTATTAGAGGGATTGGTTTGCATGAAGGTTATGAAGGTTGAGAAGTCCCACAGCAGGCCATTTGCCAGCTGCAAGTTCTGGAAGTCAGCTCTGTTTAAGTCCAAAGGCCTCAGAATCAGGGAAGCCAATGGAGTATCTAGAAGCCCCAGGTTGATGCTTGAGAACCCAAGGCAGGAGGGAATTCTGGGTAAGCCTTGTTGTCCAAGGGCTGGAGATCCTGATGTGCAAGGACAGCATATTCTAGATCAGGATATGGGCATATTCTTCTCCTCTATTTCTTGGACTTTAAAAAAAATTTATCATAAATTTCTTTATGGGTATCTGGCTCATTGGATGGTGCTGGGTTACTGGAGGGTAGATCTTCCCCACCTCGTCCATGCAGATACACATTGCAATCTCCTCTGCAGACACCTGACAGACACACCCCCAAATAATGTTACCTGGTTTTTAGGTTCTCCTTATTCCAAACAGATCCCTACAATTCACCAACACAAATCTTTTTAGTATCTTCTTTCCTGTTATTTTTTTTTACTGAATATTTGCCAAGAGAATGGTAACCTCTATCCTATCACTGCATTAGTTTTTAATTTTTCATTTATGCTTTATGTTCTTTGAATGATTGCCAAAACATAAAGGCACTCTATTTACATTTGGAATATATTTCATATGGAATTTTTTGTATGTATGTTATGAACAAAGGGGTCTTGAGACTTCCTCCCACCCAATATCTACTTACACTGATTGCACCATTGCCAAATATCCCTTTTTTATAAACTGAATGACTTCAACATCTGTTCTAGCTTCTCTATTCTGTTATACTATTTGTCTATCCTTATGCTAGTCAACATTACAGTTTTAGTCACTGCTATATTTTTATAATTATGGGTCTTCATATTTGTGGTGGTTTCAGTTTTATTGTTCTTATTTACTTTAGATAGTGTCCTTCCTTGAATTTATAATTGGATCTTGATACTATATTTAACTGAAAAATTTAAATATTTAAATTACAAAATTGCTTTTTAAATTCTGAATGTGGGATATCTATACATTTATTTAGATCTTCTAGAATTTCTTGATGTGATTTTTTTTTTTTTTTTTTTGGTATGGGGGATTGAACCCAGGGCACTCAACCACTGAGCCACATCACCAGCCCTATTTTGTATTTTATTAGAGACAGGGTCTGATGCGTTGCTTAATGCCTCACTAAAGTGCTGAGGTTGGCTTTGAACTCGAGATCCTCCTGCCTCAATCTCCTGAACTGCTGGGATTACAGATATGGACATGATTTTCTTTAAAAATTTTTCTAGGTATTTAAAATTTTATGCTGATGTATGTGGTATCACATAACAATTTCAATTTGTTCCTGATATATAGAAATAAATGTTTTTATATATTGACTTTGTATTGTCATTCACTAAACACCATTTTGAATTCTCCATGTACATAAGCAGTCTCCTTTTTAAACTGGATGCCTTTTTATTTCAGGATGTTTTTCACTTGTAAGGATCTCAAACACAATGTTAAACAATAGAGTTTATAACTTCTTTTAGATGTCAAAGAACCAACCTTTTGGCTTTGTGGCTTTAAACTATGTTATCTGTGTCACTGACGTTAATTTTCAGCCTTCCTTCCTTTCTAGTATGTGTTTGAGGCTGCTTGCCTTTTCTTCCTTCACTACTGTAGCTGCAACTCACACTTCTGTTATTTTTTCCCTTCATTGTTCACTTCAAAATATCTTAAGATTTGTTTTTATTCTTTACCCAGGAACTATTTTGAAATCATACAATTCCCAATTAGCTGGAAGTTTCTCTGTCATCTCTTTGTTAATTGAGTTCTACTAGTTTCTAGCTTTCACTGTTACAGAAAATATGAATGTTTTATCTATTGAAATTTATGGTTTGCTTTATGACTCAGCATAGGGTCAACTTTGGCAAATGATTCATGTTTACTTGAAGAAAATGTGAATTTCTTTAAGTTGAAGCTTAGCCAACTGTTAATTTTCAGATTGTCTACATGTGAATTTCTCCAACTGTGGCTAGAGATTTCTGCTGTCATTTTCACTTAATGTATTTTTAAATGTTTTTGGCACAGACTTAGGGTCCTTATTTTTTGCATGAATTCTCTTATTAAAATGTCCTCTATCTCTAATAATGCTTCTAGCCTTAATCTCTGGTAATACTCTAATCAGCATTTTTATTTGGTTATTGTTTCTTCATCTACCTTTCCCCAGGCATTTACTTCCAACCTGTATGTGCTCTAATATTCAAAATGTCTCTTCTAAGAAGTGTCTAGTTGGTTATGCTCAGCCTGATATTTTAATCTTTAGGTAATTAATCACTCATGAAATATACAGTTTGCAACTTTAAATTTGACCTATTTTGTTTTGGATTTGCTTTAATTTTTTTTTTTTTTTGTACTTGCGGTGCTGAGGATCGAACCAGTGCCTCACAGGTGCTAGGCAAGCACTCTACTGCTCAGTAAAGCCCCAGCCCAATTCTTGCTTTCGTTTAAATACTTTTACTCCTATTAAATCATTAGAAACACATTCTTTTATTTTTCTTTTAGTGCTTAACTTGTAAGTATAACATGTACCCTTGGCTTCATAGTTGAAGGTGAGTTTTCCCACTCACCAACTCCAGAAAATAAGAACACCAGCTTCATGGATCTTCCTCCTGTCCTCCGTTATTACACAGTGTACATGTTGTAAACCAGTTAGAACAGCTAATATTTACTCATTAAAATTTTCTCACATTTGCCATTTCCATTGCTCTTCATTTATTCCTGCATTTTTGCATTTCATTTGGAATCGTTCTGATTCTGCCTGAGGGAAATTCAACATTTCTTTCAAACTCCCATTTTCTCCTGGAAAGTTTTCCTTTTGCCATCACATTTAGAGAGTATCTTTTGGCCCTGGCACCTTCTTCCTTCTTATCTGGAACATAAGCACTATAGTGCCATTTTTTGATGATGAAGACAGAAGCCACATGGTAAAGACTGTGGCCCATACAAGAACACGAAGGCCCAGGGCCCACTGACCTCTGGAGTTACTATACGGAACACTGAACAGCTTACATCTCGGAAGTAAAGACTTAACAGTGTAAGCCACTGTTACAGTCTATTTCCATTAGGAAAAATAATTCCTTATGTCTTCGTCCAATCGTGGGAACTTAACTATTTATGGTCCCCAATATAGCTGTTATCTATTTAAACATTTAAATATTCCAGCATATACAGTATGACATACATGCATTATTCATCTAAAGTCATTACTTAGGTCAAAGAAGCTATATTCCAGTGGAAACTATTCAAGGTACAGTTATACCTTGACCACCCTACAATGCTGTAATGTACATAACAACTATCAGAAAGTTTTATTGGTGAAACTAGTAGCTTCTTAAATGAAAAAAATGCATTTGAAAAATGTGCCTTTAATAGTGAAATTAAAGGTTTTTAAAATAGCTAACAGTGCCCCCAGTCCCTTGTCCCAAGAACGTAAGAAGCCAGCTTTGCCCATAACTTAGGTTGTTTCTTTTGAACCCCTAAGTTACACATGTACATTGGATCTTCCGTGTATTGCTACCAGTTTACTGTCTCTTCTGTGCTGCATTTTTACTCCTTCGGTTGTTCAAGTTTTCTTTCAACATGACTGATATACACCAATCCTTTCACCAATGACATTATAATAGAGGCACCAAGAAGACACTTCTTACTGCTTTACTAAAGCCTGTACCTTAACGTGCCCAACACAGGAGTTCACAATAATTTTCTCTTTTGACACCGGGGATTGAACCCCAGGGCATTCAACCACTGAGCCACATACTCAACCTGTTTTTTACTTTTTGAGAGAGGGTCTCACCAAGTTGCTTAGGGCTTTGTTAAGTTGTTGAGGCTGGCTTTGAATTTGCAATCTTTGTGATAGCCTCCCGAGCTGCTGGGATTACAGGTGTGTGTCACTGCACCCTGCAGGTTCCACAACACTTTTTAAGCCAAGTATTGTCATACTTCTGAGAGCAAAACTGTGATGTGAATGTCAACTCTCATCGAAACCCTTCCTCCACCTCAATGGTTCAGACAACTTGGCAGCTTCCTGGGCCAGTGTGTGCAATTCTGCTTACCCCATTTCATAAGGCCATAGCACCTTCTAGGTGTTGGCTTTGTGCAGAAATCTCAGTACTAGCTTTCCTGTATGGGGCTGGAACCTATCTCTTGATATAAAAATGCCAGAGTCCGTTGGTGAGGCTCAGAGCCATGATTATCATCCTCTGGGTCAGTGTAGTTTTAGTTCCTGACTTTACCAATCTGGCTTTGTTTTCTCTTCATTTCTGGCAGCTGGAATTTCCCTTCTCTTCTCATGCAGTCAGCTGTGTGTTTGATATGCTTTATCTGGCATCTGAGTCTGGAGCCACGGGATGGTGCAGGTAGGTTAACTTATGTTACTTCAGCATGCCATGCCACCAAGATTCCTAGCTATTAGCTTCACTATCTCCAGACATATCCCATGAAGTTCTTCAGCCTTATAGGAAATCTCCTAATCTGTGACACAGAGCTACCCGAATCCTTAAAGAAGTTTGTTATAGTGACCCAAGCCAAACTTTGATTTTGTTCCGAGTGATAATGTGCCCAGCAAAAGAACTTTGTTTCTTGGCCTCTGCTGCAGCTCATGAACAGCCACAGGATAAAACTGTGGCAAAGGAGACAAGCTGGAAGTTTCTGAACTTTGTGACGCAGACAAGACTTCTGGCTTAATCCCTCCCACTTCCTGCAGTCTTTATTAAGGATGTAATGGTGGCAATTTTAAAAATCACCTTTGGAACTCCATGTAAGAGTTTAAAAACAAACCTGTCTTGCTTAAGCCTCTGTTTTGGGGTTTCTGCTACCCTATAGCCTAATTGAATCACTAACTGTTAGACTTTGAAAAGCATATCAAATAAGCAAAACACAAAACAAGGTTGAAAGAAAATGTTTATTTAGCAGTAATAAGGAGAGAAGAAATGAGGAGGGGATTTTAAGAGTTGCTTTCCATCATGATTACTGGGAAATGATTTGGACAAAACTCTCACATAATGGCAGTGATAGTTCAATGGTGGTCAAGTTTCCCATGCATGACTTGAGTTCTCACTGCTTTCACTTTAGGAGAGTAGTATGAAGTAAAGGTCTACCTTCGTGTGTTCAGAAAATAATCACACAACTGAATCGTCAGTATGTTTTTGCCATTTGATCTTCATTACTCTCCCCCACAATATTAACATGATGGAAGTAAAATGACTTGGTCACTTTTTAAGTTTTGTTTTTCAAGATAAAGCCAGAGTATCAACTAATGTGAACAATACTTCAAGCAGTAAATTTATGGTACCTGGTGAAATAAACTAGATTTTTCTCAAATTTATAGAGTATAATACTCTATAAATTTGAGAAAAATGTATAGAGTATAATATAAGCTAACTCTATTCAGAAAATATTTGAGAGTCTCTATTTACCAGGCACAGTGCTAGCGTTGTAAGAATATTATCTCATATTAACCACTAACTGTCAAATAGTGAAAAACCCTACTTTATAGTCAAAGAGAAAACAGAGCTTTCTTGTTGTCATATAGCTAAAAAGTAGCAGGCCTATAATGTGAACTGGGGCTTTTAATTTCAAGAACACCACTTTTTAATAGTGTCATTATGTTGCCTTTATTCAGTTTCTGATCATAGCATTTTAACTCATGTTTAGTAGACAGTTTGTCTTAATTTGGCAGTCATTTTATTACTTTCTTTTCTTATATAAAAAAAAATGTGAAGAGGCAAGTAGGGGAAAAGTGATTTGAGAACATGGCCAGATTTTTTGGTAACATTCCTATTTGTCTCTTTGGCTCAAGGATTATCTTCCCCTGAGAAGGGAAAACAAACACATTTTAAAATAGTAAAATTTCACCATGCTAGACAATGAACTTATGAAAAAGAAACCCATTTTTGTTCTCAAGGGGCTCATAATCTGAGAAGGGAAGTAGACATGCAGATAAATTAGTAATAAATTTAGCACTAGTGAGAGCAATTTATCATTAGTAAATACTAGACACATTTGTGTCACAAAGAGAAGATCAACTTAACTTAGGAGGGCCAACATCAAGGTACTATTAAGACTGGAGATTTAAAGTGAGTGGGATATTTCTTGAGTGCTTCTTATGTGCCACGTAGTGTGCTAAGTGACTTATCTGAATGATCTAATGGGCCTTCAAATGAGCCCAGGCAGCTAAAACCCAGAACTTCTTCTGCTTAATAGTGTGCTCATGCAAATACGGACACATACAAATAAACATAAAATAAATAATTGGATGGATTTACCTAGAAAAAGGAAATTACAAGACTATACATTTTTCATTTACATACAAGGACATGAGGTCAGAGTGCTTTAGTCAACGGTTGTGTAGTAAAGACAGACATATCTCATATTTTATTAAGGGTCTGCTGGATCACTTTGTCCTGAAAATGCTATTCTCTTCTCGCTTTTGCCTTTAACTCTCTGAAACAACCCCTAAGCTCTAAAAGCAATTTCAAATAACATACCAACTTACTGGAGGATGAAGTCATTAAGTGACTATTGCATACAGAAACACAATTTAGTAGGGTTAGCAAATATTTAAAACAATATATTTACTGTAAATACCAGTGTTTTATAAGCAATGATCTGGAAACGTTGGAAAATGAGCAAACAAGTTTGCCAATTTTTATGCATATTGCTTCTTCCATACTCAACCTATTACATGCAGAGATAAACACAAGGCATGAATCAAATCCTAGGATATCCAACACAATTTTGGAAAAAGACTTTCTAATGTATTCTGTTCTAGTCTACTCAGAGCATCATCTCTCACCCTTCAGACTTTGTAATCTACTGTCCTGACGATTCCAACATCCAATACGGCCTGGCCCACACTGAGGTTTCTAATAGGCACTCTGATACAATCTTTTGGTATGTCAGTCCTAGGAAGTCTTCTACCTTCTTGTCTGAGCTGACTATGACTATTTTTTTTTTTAAAACTATACAAGACTGTTATTCAGCTTTGCATCACTGTGACTAAAATACCTGACAAAAACAACTTATTTGGGGCTTATAGTTTCCAAGGACTCAGTTCACAGAGGGCTATTCCACTGTTCCGAAGCACATGACATAAGGCAGGGTGCAGTGAAGGGTTGCTGCTTTGCTCATGGCAGCCAGGAAGCAGTGGGTAGAGGGGCTACAGGGAAGATACACCCTTCCAGGGCAGCCCCAGTGACCCACCTCCTGCCATACCCACATGTCCAATTACTCCATTCAAACAAGACGGACTGAAACAGCCATAGGTTGTTACATAGGTTACATCTTTCATAATGTAATCATTTTTATTCTGACTATTCCTGCATTAACATGGAGTGGGGGGACACAGCTCATATGCAAACCATAATAAAAATTAGACATTTCATACAATTTTATTCAATATGAGGCTAAAGGCTTGATTATTTGTGGGAAAACGGTTTGACTTGGGGTCATAATAAAAACTATCAATCTTATAATGTACCCTAAAGGTTCAAGGTGGATGACTTTAATACTGATTTAAGATAAACATCATGGTTGGGAATGGACACTGAGGGAGCTCATTTGAGCCTAAAAGCAAAAGAAATAGTATCCACTAAACACCTTAACTGTGCTGGGTCCTTCACAACCCTACAACTCTCTCTCTCTCTCTCAACCCTACAACCTGATGTTGGTTGTTTATTTTACAAAGAAGTTATCCAAAGAAGTTCAGCAATTTACTCAAGGTCACACCAATGTTAAGTGATGGAGCACAGATTAGATTGGCAGTCTAATTCTCAAGGACATGTTTGTGATAACTGTGAAATTATATTTGGTCTTCATTCCTGTTTGCAGACACAGAGCTTCTAGAACTTTGGAATCTCTGGAGAGTGATGAATGTCTGCAGTAGCCAATGAGATGACTGGTGGCTAGGGTCACAGCTTCAGAATAAAGTCAAAACTCTGTGCCCCACTCACCAATTTCCAGGACTGCCCTACGTAATGAAGCCTTCATGAGAAAGGGTTCAGATGCACTTCTACATAGCTGATCATGCAGTTTCTGGAGGGTGCAAATCCAGAGTAAGCAGGATTTCACTCCACTTGTACTTTCCATTGTTTTGCCCTGTGCATCTCTTCCATGTGGATTTGTAATATCCTTTATAATAAATTGGTAAATATGAATAAAGCCTTTTCCTCATTTCTTGAGCCATTCTAGCAAATTAATCACATCTGAGAAGGGATAGTGGGAACCCAGGTTTATAGCCAGTACTTCAGAGGCACAGGCCACAAACTATGCTTGCTAGGTGGCATGTGAAGTGGGGAGACAGTTTGTAGGACTTATCCTCCAACCTGTGAGATCTGGCATTATGTCCAGGTATGCAGTATCATAATTAAAGGATACCTAGCTGATGTCCAACAGAAAATGTGCAAAAAAAACCTCCTTGATTGCTGGTGGGGAGAAATCTTCACATACATTTGGGGATAGAAGCAAGTTGAGTGTTGTGTGAGAATAGGAAAAAAGCACTTTTTTTTTGCTTTTAATATGCATCACTTGAGTCACTTGTGATGGGTACTAGAGATGAAAGAAAAACATAAGAAAACATTTAAAATTCAGTTTGGCCATATAGATGAATAGTTATCAGTCATTCTTGACAACTGCATCTACCTTGGGTCAAATTTATTATGAAGCATAAAGATTCTTCATACATCATTATTAAATATATATGGAATGCAAGCATGTATTAACTTCACTTGCTGTCTTAGATTACTCTGATATTAATTTCTGTGTTTGCATGTTCACTGTTCTTTTATTATCCATGTTCTAATATATAAAATTATATCAGGTTTAGAGACATAGTTTGGTCACTACATTTAATACAAAGACACTGACAGAATTTATAACATTAACAAATTTAAATTACAGAACAAATATTTAGAAAGTTATTTGAAAGAGAAGGATTAACAATACCTGGTTCCCAAACTCTCATTCATACTCATATGTCTACCCAAAAGAAAATTAGTATTTTGGTTAATAATGACTATACTATAAATTGCAAACAAGAGGTTTTTCTGTGTGTGCTACTGACTACACACAGTGGGTATTTTTAAGCAAGTGATTATTAAATATAAAGACATCCAAAACAAAACAATTCATGGATAATCTACAGGGGGAGAAAAGCATTTCACAATGTCAAAATGGTTAGGCTACATACAAAAGGTAACTGTATACCTTTAGGCACCTTTTATACGTTAAAAAACAAAACATACAAAAAAAAAAAACCCTCACAGAAGTACTTTTTTTTTTTTTTTTAATCTTCCAGGGAATCTGAGTTGCAAAATTTATATGGAGAACAAGTGGCAAAAAAAAAACTTTCTTAAGTTACTTCATAAAATCAAAGCAAAACAGCCCAAATCCTGTTTTTAGACAGACAGAAAGACATATGTTGGCTATAACTTAACAGACCTTAAAAATCACTTTGAAATTAGTAAAAGGTCACAAGTCTTAAGCCAGCTATAACTGAACCCAGGCAGTCCCCAGACAAGAAAGCAGCTGAAGGGCACTGCCAAGACTTGTGTTCATGGAATAGTGTTACTTAGCCTCACAGGAATAATGTGTATCAAATTGTAAAACATACCCTTGGGACTAGTTCTTTTCTGTAAACTAAAGGAAGTTAAGGCTAATATAAAAAAGTAATACTGATTTACATACATACAAAAATTCTGCTGTTGGTTTCATCATGTACTGGGAGCTATATAAAGAATTAAAAGATTAAAAATAAAAACACCCTTCATTCTAACCCTACAATTTGAAAAAAGAATATTACTAGTTTTAAAAATCTTCAATATTAAGTGATAAATAATGAAGAGAAGTTACTTAGCTACTAACTATAATTTTGCATAATATTTCACACTTAACACTTTGACATTTATTAAAAAAATATTTTTAAAAACAATGAAGTAGCCAGGTGTGATGGCGCATGGCTGTAATCCCAGCAGCTCAGGAGGAAGGCTGAGGCAGGAGAATCACGAGTTCAAAGCCAGCCTCAGCAAAAGCGAGGTGTTAAGCAACTCAGTGAGACCCTGTCTCCAAATAGAATACAAAATAGGGCTATGGATGTGGCTCAGTGGTCAAGAGCCTGAGTTCAATCCACAGTACAAAAACAAACAAAAACACTGAAGTAAGTATAACCAAAAGATAAACTCTATTAATTACAGATTCCCCACATCTTAAATGACAATTACTGAAGTCTGTAGGAGACATTCAGAAAAAATAGAATAAAATGGGAGAAAATGATTACAAAAATACAATAAAATGGGAGAAATAAATATCGAATGTTCAAACTTGACAGAAAATAGTTCAATTCCAAAACATCCTAAAATTATCAAAGGAATTCAATTTATATTATGTTCTCTATCAACATAATTAAATAACAAAAAGCAGTATGGTAAACAAGGGGGGAAAATAGAAGCAAAATTTCAACATTTGCTCAGATTCTATAATATTTAAAACTAACAAGCACATATTCATCAAAAGAAAATTTCTTTTTACAATTCTAATAAATATATAATAAAACAAAATCAAGTATGCATTTTCCTATAAGGGCAGGAGTTGTCTCACTCCAACTAAAACCCTTCATCGTATTCATTCAAACAAGTGCAATGCTTCATGTAGAGTCTAGCCCACATGATCAAAGACCCTTTTACATAATAAGGAAAATACATAAGGTAAAGATATAAACTTATGACTATCAAGGAACAGAATAAAGAACACCTAATTAAACAGCAGAATTTGGAATTTAACCTACAGGCCATCTGGCAGAGCCTAAACCATGTGTATATTAATTTTTTCCCTGAGATGTTCAAATGTGAATTGTTGGAAACTCCCCAAATATGCTTAATTTGTAAAAGATATTTTATAGAACTATTTTAAAATTATATCCTTCCATGATGGATTATAGTATTTCTTAAAGTATTATGTAAATTATAAAATAATGTAAGCATTTGACAAGTTCCAATAAACATGTGGAACTCACTCAAATGTGGTATATTCTGCATCCAAGTACATAACAAGATAGCTCCCTATTTATAGCAAGCAATGTTTATTAAACAAATAAAAACAGCACTCACCTTCAGAAACAAGTCCCATGCCTTCATTTCACATTTTTATTTAATTATTTTTCTTATAGTAAGTAGACATCCTCCATAGAAGCAGCACAAAATGCGAATTCTAATTCTGGAGGTAGGCACTGGCAAGAACTTAAGATACCTGTCAGGCTGCTGGAGTAATGTAAGCTCTTAACATGATTCTGGTTTTGCAGCTGTTGTTTTGCTTTCTACCTACAAAGAATGTGGATATGTCACCAGAATTGGAAAAGGTTCATTTCATGGAATTGGAAAACAAAACTATATGAAATTAATTCTGAGTATTTCTAATAAAGGCACAAATGTGGAAGTATCATTTTGCTCAAACAATACATATCTATAACTAATTATGGGGTATTAGCTTATCTTTAAAAATTGTTTAGAAATATATGGCACAACCCACTCTGGAAAAAGTAATGGGTGATAAATATGCTTTTAAAATAACAACAATGGGTACCATTTGTCAAAAGCTGAGTGTGTACAAGGAATCATACTGCCCACATTAATGGTATTAACTTACTTAGTCCCAATAATACTATCAGGTACTGTCATAACTATAATTTAGCAGATTGAGGAAACTGAGGCACAGGAAAATAACTTACCAAAAGTAACACAGCTCCAGAAGTTGGTCTTCGAAACTCTTTACCAGTAAATTACTGTGATTTCAAATATTCAAACCATGTATATTTAATCAAAAAGTTGGCAACATCTTTACCTTAAAACAAAGTATACTTAAACATTATAGTACCATTTATTGAATACCTAAACACAACTGCAGTAATAATAATTATTTATTGAATTCTTAATATGACAAGTACTGTATTAATGAAACACTGCCATACCTATTTTGTAGATGAGAAAATCGAGGTTCAAAACTGCTTCTTGTAGCCAACTCACTAGTAGAGTCCAAACAGAGACTAAATCTGATGTCAAAACCTATGCTTATTAAACTACAATGCCTATGTTAACCACAACTCCCAAAGGAGGACACTATTTTGTCCTGATACCAGAGCCTTATGTCATGTCAGAGATTTAGTAATAAAATGGATAAGACACAACAGTAACTTAGAAAAATCAAGCTTAAATAAAAATCAAGCTTCTGTATAGGTTCTCATCACACCCTTTATCAATGTTAATTGGTTGATATTCCAAGTCAGCTGAAGTAAACATCCACCTCCCAGCCAATCCATATATTACAGCTGAGTGTAGGATGTTTACATAAACTGCAACTTGGTTTACAGCAGGATTTATGGAACTCTTAACTATGTTTATAATGGTTCTTTACTGGAGACTCAAATTTACATTAAGGTACATGACAAATTTATTTTCTAAAAATATAACTTTGTAGAATCTGTTGAAAAAATAGGCACAGCAATCCGTACAAATGAGGCAAAGTCAACTCAAAATGTAGAATCCAAGGAAAAGGCAGAGAGATATACTATTTTCACTGAAGGAATTTATAGCGCCTGTTGGTGCTCTAAATCTAATGCTACTGATTTCTCAGCCTGCCATCTTTCTCCATCATTCCCTTTCAAACAACTGGACCTGTTTTTACAGGAACCCATTTGATGGGCAATATAAAGCACTGACCACCATTTGTCTTTAAGATTTCTGATCTGGGTCAACGACAAAGTTAATGAAATACCCGTGAGGAGCTCAGTCACTTCTCTCCCCATTCATAACTCACGTTCTCTTCACCTCTTCCCATCTTCTGTACCAAGTGTTATTAAGGTGCCTCAAAGTCTTTCTCCATCTTCCTTCCTCTGATTAACTGCAAGTACTTCTGCTAAGCATTAAAAGTGGCCCTATCACATATCAAAGAAGAGGAAATTCTCAAATTTGGAAGCAATATTAAATATAATAAACATTGCCAGCCAACTTTAAACATCTTTGGCATATCAAAGACACCCCAGGTCCTGGACCCTGGCTCCTTACGGCTGTTTCTTAAAGTATGGGTTTTCAAGATTAAATGCACATCTTCACATATCCATAAACATATTGTTTTTCTGTTTTAATTAATACTGCTGCAAGCACATTTTTTCTTTTGCTTATATTTGCAAACATGTTCAATTAGATTTTTACTCTTCTTAGTTTTTTCTTTTTCTGAACTGTAGATTGAACCCAGGGCCTCAGTTGTGCTAGGCAAGCAAGCACTCCACTACTGTGCTATAGCTCCAGCCGTTTTGAAAAATTTATTTATTTGAAAGTCTGCTGGTACTAGGGATGAACCTTGGTGCATTATGCCTCTCTGAGCTATGTATGCAGAACTTTCTTAAAATTTTGAGTCAGGGTTTTGCTAAAATTGTTGAATCTGGCCTCCAACTTTCAATCTTCTTGCCTCAGCCTCCTGAGTAGATGGGATTGTAAGTGTGCACCGCCACATCAAGCTCGATTAGGTTTTTGTGGGCTAAACAATTAATAGACTTTTTTTTGTTGTTGTTTTACTTTATTAGTTCTACTGTGAAAATGCTAAAGGACAGAAAGTGCCCTGCTAGCAATTGTCAGGGACTTAACCACAGAAGCCAGCTGTTCGTTTAGAAGAGCGAATAGTTGGAAAGGGACATAATACTCCCAGTTTGGCATTTGTTTACATCAGAGCTGTTAACAAAAGCTATATTTTTTTGAGGGGGGAGGGGTAAAAGGGCTTCAAATTTCCAATGTACCTTTTTACAATCAAACTTTTGGACTACTTTTCTTGGGGTGGGGTGGGACTTTCTGTGTCATACTTTAGACTCTAATTGGGCACAGTACCTAAGAGGGAAAGTAAGATGAGTTCCAGGGTTTTGAGAGCAGCAGCAGCAGTTGGGAACTTAGGAAAACACGTTTCCAAGCCCCACAGTACTGAATGAGCAGCTCTTCTTGCAGGACCCAGCAATATGTGTTTTAATTAAGCACTCCAAGTAATTTTGATGCACACTAGTTTCTGAAAACCAGTGGATGGTTTGTTCAAATATAATGCAAAGCTAAAGCAAAAACAGAGGTGTAATATGGAAGTGTGTAATATGCTACAGAAGCAAGGACAAATATAGACCAAATGTCTGCCCCCAATTAATCAGGTTGGGGAAACTATGGCAGAGACTATCTAAAATAGTATAATTTTAGTAAGTAATTAAGCTTAGACCGATTCAAATGAAGAACAAAACTTTCCTGAGATACACAGCAAATAATGGCACATTCATCAAATGAAAAATGTTGTCTAATCATAGGAGTGGGAAGGAATCAGCTAGGACATGTTACATGCAATGGGCATAAGGGGGTTTAAAGGTTCATGGTCCACTTCTGGGTCACCCCAACACTGCTAGGGACAGAACCTGGGGCTTTGCTTGTGCTAGGCCCTTCAACCCTCTGCCTCTATAGAGAAGTGACTCAGGCACTAACACCAATGAGGACTTAACCAATCATGTATTTCTTTTTTTCCCTCCAAGCCTCAATTTTTCTAACCAATCATGTATTTCTATGACCATTTTCTAACCAAGAATATCCTGTATAAAGCTGACTCGAAAACATAATTTTGTGGTTGTTTACTTAAAGAAAGAACCTCTAAGTAATGTCAAAGCATATACTAAGGAAACATGTTATCTGCAGAATGGTGTTGAGTACTTTTTTAAAAAAAATATTAACTGGACCCACCAATCTTAAGCCCCAGGCCAATCTTAAATAGTAAAGAATTTCTGAGTTTTCTAAATCTTGTCAATTAAGACCACACACTTTTCTCTAAGTATCTAAGTTAAAGGATAAGGAAACAAGTTGTTATTAATTTACTATTAATACTGATAATCTAATATTTTAAGGCATTTGTTCTAAACAGTCATGTGTTAACCTTGTAAGCCAATAGCAAGTTTGTGGTTCTTCAAAATTAAAATAAAAAGAAATCAACTGCAAATGACTAAAGGTTTGTACTTAAGTACATGAAGCAAGGACATTCAGAATTAAAGCTAACATGGTCTTTGACTTCACCAGGGCAGAATAATATACAGCAAATGTTACATAACAGATTGTGCCATTAATCCTGCAGCATCTAAAGATGACTGGACTAGCTGGGCAGAGTATAACAGCTTAATGCAGAATACCTATCCTTCTTTTAGCTTAGATTTGGCTTATCATTTTGAAAAACATTTCAAATTCAGCTATGCAAATAATTAAATTGTGCAATTTCTATTCATCTCAGAGGATTTTAAGGTTACCAAGTTTTTATGGGAAAAACACAATGTCACCTGGCCAAACAAAAAATTCTATTAACAGATTACACATTATATTCTATCTCTGGCAGGGAGCACTTCTGGGTTCCAAGCAATGGCTCTATCCAATTGCTATTTGGAACTGAAGGCTTCCAATGTGCTAAAACATAGGGTCACAGAATATACAACAAATCTGCTTTATTAAGAGTTCATAGGAAGGAATGCTTCATGCATGCTAATCATTAAGTCTAAAAATTGTACTTTATAAGTTAAAAAGTTACCTTATCTGGAGTAACTAATTCCTTCCACCCATGTAAGTCTTGTACACACATTACCTTTCTAGAAATAAATGCTGTAGCACAGATGTATGTGGACTCACTTCACCATGACAAACTGTCATTTATTTGCTTAAGAAGGCAAATAGTAGATACTGCTGCAATAAAATAATACAATTATTTGAGCCCTATATCAAGGTGCTTTACCTGATGTTTACAGCAGGAAACCAAAACAGAGCTAAATCTGTCCTTGGTAAGTCTGTAATCTAATCAAATAAGATAGGCATATAAAATATATTAACAAGAATTTTTATCTTTTGCCTTAATTATGTACTGAAACTAACACATTTCGATGCCTGGCAATTTCTTAATAAGTGATAAAAATACCAATGTCTTATTGAAGAGAAAATGTCAATAAAATACATGTTTTCTAGTAATTAAAAGAAAAACAGAAATGAGAAAACAAGTTTTTAAAACTTAAGAAAACTGAAAATTGTACATTATTAATTAGTTCATGCTGAATGTCATCTACATGAGAAGTTCTGGATTATTCAGAGCACACCTGCCCACAAGGCAGCCCAAAGCCAGTGATACCTGGTAATAGTTAGCAAAGTACACTTTAAACAGAGGCACTTGTGACCATTTGCAAATGCTGCAAACAGGAGTATCGGCTTGAAGACTTACAGCTGCTGAGAGGAGTTCTGATTCAGAGTGTAGCATCACTGAGGAGGAGAAGAGCAAGGGAAAAGAGGAGGAAGGGAAAGGGATGGGTGCATCTCAACACTACAGAAAAGACTGAAATCCCTGGACTGTATGCAGCTAGGCAGTAGTGGTTAAGTACCTTCTAGAGAATTTGTCGATAAGAAAATAAGGCTGTGAACTACTAGGAAGCTAACCCCAGCCTACTCAGAAAGGTTAAAAGAATAAACACTTGTGACAGGGTAAAAACACAGATAGAACCCAAGAGTGGAAAAAAAAAAAAACCCAACTTTTAAAAACTAACTTCTTTAAAGTCCAGCAGCACCTAATTCGGCACCCTACTTTTTTTCAATTTTTATTAGCTACACATGTTATTACAATGATCTTGGCAATTCATACATTTGAATCATTGGGGTATAATTTCTCATTTTTCTGATTGTACAGATTGTAGAATTACACTGGTCATAGTCACCCATATACATACAGCAATCATATTGTCTATTCCATCGGCACCCTACTTTTAACATATATGCTGTGTCAGAGAGGCCAGTGAAGGGAGGCTGCCCACATCTTCCCAGCATCCCCAGCGCCACCCCTCAGTGTACTCACGCAGGCTGTGAGAGCCGGCAGCAGCAAACATCTGACTGAAAGCTCAGCTGTGTCCTACAGCTTCCAGTCGGGGATGTTTACAGCTACAGACTTTCTGAATGGCAAGTTAATAGTGGGACTAGACACAGATGTTGCCAGTCACCACCTTTAGCTAAAGATTTACAGAATTCTAAAGCTGAATGATGTGCCATCTTGGAACAAAACCGGTAAGGTTAAGCCTACTAATTAACAAGGAAGAAGTGGCTCACTACATGCAATTTCTCCTGAATTATCTACTTAGAAAGCAAATACACATTACAAGATTCTCTTGGCAGATATGCAACAGTAAAGATTTTACCCTGTTATCTTACATGAGGATACATTTTTCTAGTGCATGTAAATATGGCTTTTTCTTTTTCTAAGCCCAGAGTTGAAAACTAGTAATAAACAATCTTAATGATTACACATACCTTAACAAGCAGGGCCTTGTGCATGTGAGGCAAGCACTCTTACCAACTGAGCTATATCCCCAGCCTCTGTTATAATTATTAAAATGTCCTCTTAGCAAAAGTGTCCTAATTTAGATAACAGCAGTTTTACTTGCAGTGGATCTATAGTAAGTTGAGAGGCTAATATTTTCTTCCACTATCCCCAGCTGATCTAGGTTAGGTATGTACAGTCAATGAAAATGAGCAAGGCAAAGTGGTTAATAAGAGGAATAAACATATGATCTTGGCTTTGTTTACAAAGCAATACACTGAAACCATTTTGTTTCCCACATTACTTTCCTGAAAGAGAAAGAAATCATCTGCAATCCATTGATGTGCTTTAATCTGAAACATGCAAAATAATTTTTCTTTAAATTAAAAACCTATTAAAGCAATTAAGTCACAGTGATTTCCAAGAAATGAACATATATACATGAGGATGTGTACTTCACTCCCACCCTAGAGAATGAAAAAACCAATATAAACAATTTTGAAAGGTCATAATTTTTAATAATTTTTTGGGAGGAACTATGGAATAGAGATTTTTGGTCACTGAAATTTACTGTGATAATATTTAAAGGTTGGTATCTAATTTCTTTTTTAATTTAAATATGTAAATAACTCTATTCATTATAGAAATAATGCTGGAAATAATAGGGAAAGGTGCATGTGGACTCTATGGATACAAGATGACCTTCATTATTTTTGAAGACAAATACTTAAAAAAACCTCAATGGCTTTTTACAACAAAGACTATTCAAGTTGTTCTACAATTGAAACTTTCCAGATTGAAATTATAAAAAAAAAAAAGGTTATTTCATGCCTAGATAGGCACATGATACTTGACTAATGAGGATGCTGCACATAGAATTGCAATGAACCAGTTATTACAGCTATCTGCTTTAAACAATTTATCTCTGTTTTCAATTCATTTTTTAAAAGATTGATCAAAAGAATCCTTTATCAGTCTCTTCTTCGAGTTTTGAGTAAGTTTTATCAAATGATGTATTTTTGTATAATGTATTATTATTGAAGACATAAAAAGTAAAATTGGGAGTTCATAACCCACTTCAATCTAATGTATGAAATATGATATGTCAAGAGCTTTGTAATGTTGTGAACAACCAATAAAAAAAATAAAAAATTAAAAAAAAAAGTAAATGGATGGAAGTTGAAAAATTAAGTATACATTATAAGAAAACCTATTACAAAATACCTTCTATAATTACACAATTATCTTTGAGATACAATTTTCATTAAAATATACAACCTATATCTCATAATGTTCTTTTATTCATAACCAAATATATGGTAAGAAAGTCATGTTTACTGAGAGGGTAGCTAAGGCGAAAGATCTGCCATTTTTGTCATGCTTTATGATTTTCATTTTTAAAAATATTTTTAGTTACATATGGACACAATACCTTTATTTTACTTATTTTTTAATGTGGTGCTGAGGAATTGAACCCAGTGCCTCACATGTGCTAGGCCACCCAGCCCATGATTTCCATTTTTGTCACAAATATATTATGTGCTTGAGAATTACTTTTCTTACTATTAGCATTAGCACTTTAATTTTCGATAACTCATTTTTAATAAAAAAGGGCAGAATGTACAGGCAGGCATACAATCTGCTGTCCAGATAAAAATGACTCTCACTGCTCCACTGTCTGGAGCAGTGCTGCTGTGCAGTAACTGAAGTGTCTGTCAAATCAGGTCACTGAAATCAGTTCATGGCAATCAATATATGATGGATATCATGCCTCAACTTACCACAGATCCCTCCAGTGCAATGGTGAAAAAAATTCCGACATCTCAATATATCTCTTCCTAAAATGTGACAATTTGTAATGAAGACAAAACTGCTATTGTATGGGCTGCTATGGCTTTGGTATCTATTCCCCAGTTCATGGGTTGGAGATCCCCAATCCAACTCTTTAGAGATGGGACACTTAAGAGGTGATCCAAAGGGAGAATTCTTCCTCCATGAACAGATTGATGTTGTTATAGATGGAGTAGGTTATGAATAAAAAAGTGAATTTATACCCCTCCCTCCCACTCCCTGGCCTACATGTGAATGTCTTCTCTTGCTCTTCCACCTTCTGGCATGAGATGCTATACCATGAAGCTCCTTACCAGATGCTGGCCCTTACACTTGGGATTTCCCAACTTCCCAAAGTGTGAGAAATAAATTTGCTTTCTTTATAAATTACTGGTCAAAGCTAAGAAAAAACTCTTCACTTAAAATGGAGTGATTATATGATGAACTAAAGGAATATTCCATTTTGGGTGGAGGGCAAAGGTAACATTAAAAACCTCCCCAAAATATTAACAGATAATTTAGTTTATCATTTAATGTAATTACATATTCTCTCCATTACTATTCTGAACAAAGAATGTGTAACTTAGTTTCCTATAACAGAGTCATATATTTACACAAGTTCTAGTTTGTTATATACTTGACTTAAAACAGTCTACATAGGAGTACTTCAAACCTAGATGGGGCTAGAAGTATATTTCAGTGGTAGAATATATGCCTAGCATATGAGGCACTGGCTTCAATCCCCAGCACCAAAACCAAACAAAAACAAAGAAACATAGAGGGAGAGGTAGTTAGGGGAGTGATCTGGGCAAAACCATCAAATACTTTTTAGCAAACTTTATACAGATCAAAATGTCCCCCCTTCCCAAATTTTCTGACCAAAGCTAATAGCAAGATGAATGGGAACTAGCATCATTTTTTAGATTCTTGATACACTGGCCATAGAAAATCCTAAGTCATGAATATGGTGAAACTAGTTACTAGTAACTCATAATTGTGTTAAGTCCACTTAAGTAAGGATAAGCTAGTGAGTTGGGGACCCCACAGCACTTGGTAACCAAAAGGCAGTCTTTTCTTCAGGTAATATGGTGTGTAGAGATTGAAAACTGCTTTAGAGACTGCACCCAAAATAAAACTGATAACTAGATTCTAGAGTGCTTTCTATGATTCACAGAGTCTATTATAACTAACAAAAACAGGTAAATTTCCCATAATCCTGGAAGGAGGCACCAGATAAATACATCAGTATAATGCAAACCACATTTCAACAAGTATACTTATTTTCAAAATCCATACCTAGAGAAAAATTGCCAACTTCAGCCTCAACACATAAACAAAAATAAGTCAGCAAACAAGGATTTAAGAAACCTTTGAACCTCTGTAATACAGAGAACACGCATCTAACCTCAAATGGATGGCATACTCTAAAGTATGCTTCTTATTACTTACCCAATTTCAGAGCAGTTTAATTCTCAGGAAAAAAACCATATCTGTTATCTATTTTCAAGCTTTTCTAGTTAAAATCCATTTATGGCTATATTTAAGAAGAATCCTCTTATACACACAAGAGATAAATGACTTTCCTATTAATTTGTCCTTCCTAATGTCAGACTATTCACAGCTTCCTATAAGAGGTCACATCTATTCCTTTAAACCCTTACATTCCACTTATATGCTAGCTGTGTGACCTTTAGTCAAGTCACTCAATCACTCCCAATCAGCTCCCCAGTTTGTAAAACAAGACAGACCTGTAACAGGAAGGAAAAAATTCTTACATACTGAATGCAAAGACTAAATAAAATTATGTGGTATAAAAAAGTACATGTGAAATAGTAAAGATGTTATATTTCTTGACTAAAGTACTTTACTAAAGTAGATGTTTATAGGTTTGTATCTAATACTTCCTTGAAAACCTCTCCCTGAAAGCAAAAGTCTGCATCTGAATGACCTGACAACCAGGAGAGCCTTGTTCTGAGTGAGTAGAAGGGAGTTCCAGAGTTGTATCTGACAGCTATATCTGACCCAAAGTGGGGGATCAGTGATGCTGGCCTCATTGGTGTCAGATAAGCCAAGTGCACCCATCTATAGTGATGATGTCATTATTATGTTAGAAACACTCTCCTTTGCCTGTTTAATTTTCAGTTAAGAAAATCTTTTTTTTATATATATATATTTAATTTTTTTAGTTTTCGGCGGACACAATGTCATTGTTTGTATGTGGTGCTGAGGATTGAACCTGGGCCGCACTCATGCCAGGTGAGCGCACTACCACTTGAGCCACATCCCCAAACCCAGTTAAGAAAATCTTAAAAAGCCAAAGTTTTAAAAGATAAAGTTGGCTTTAATCATGTTTTTAATTTTATAACATAATCCAGATTTCCTGTAAATTTTTGCAGTGAATTAAATATATTAATATTAAAAATTAATTTAAGAATAAATATCTTAAGAATAAACTACTATGTAAATAAAGGTATAAACAAAACTCATGCTGTATTTACTCAAGTAAAAAACTTTGTTGGGATGGGGTTGTGGCTTAGTGGTAGCGTGCTCACCTAGCACATGGGAAGCACTGGGTTTGATCTTCAGCACCACATAAAAATAAATAAAATAAAGGTATTAAATAAAAAGAAAACAACTTTCAGTCATTCAAATAGTTATGTTAAAATTATATTTAAACATCTAAAAACGTTTTCATTTGCAAGTAATGTAAAGAATTCTTAGGATAATATGAATAGGTGTCAAAGCTATTTGAACATTTTCCAATCAAGTTCATACCAGATGAAATAATTTAA